GACCCCTGCCAGTGCTAAGATGCTTACACATTCACTGATTTGGCTTTCCTCCTGCAGTCAGCATCATTGCATGTGTTTTGTGAGATGAAGGAGGACTTTGTGGATTGGTGTCGGACATATGGGTTAATGTTGGACTTGTGGGCTTGGGCAGCACTGGGTTGGGATGTTTACTTGATGTGCACTTAACCTTTATTTAAAACTCTCTCTTATACATGAGTTTCTGTGGATTTGTTTCTCTAAAGTACCCAGACTAATACAGCCAATCAATCAGGTTGCAGCTTGATAGCCTCATTTGGAGGCGCTAAGGAGATAAAGCGCTTGCTAGAGGCAGGACACAGGCTCAGTCCTTGGGAGATATTGCAGCCGACAAGACCCATGGAGTTATGCTAGTGCCCTGAGCTAGAGGAGCCACGTGGAGACCCCTGCCAGCACTGAGATGCTTCCACTGCCACTGGATTCGCAAGGCTTCCCACCCACTGGCCTGTGATCTTCCTGCATTCAGCACCATGTTTCATGAGTCTGAAGAGGACTTTATAGATTGGCATCGGACATATGGGCTAATATTGGACTTATGGACTTGATCTGGACTGGGCTGGGATGTTTTCTTAATGTACAATTACTCTTTATATAAAGCTCATAGGAGTCTCCCAGGATTTGTTTCTCTGGTCTACCTGGGCTAACACAGCTCCCATGCTCATGGGTCCCCAAAGAGGAGGCCTCCTCTTGCCCATGGAGTTTAATGGACAGTGAGGACCATCCCCTTGTTGAGGGTCACCCCATTACCTGGAGAGACCAACCCCCTGCCTTGGTACCTCTCCCTCTTTCCAGCCCAGTCCAGATCAAATCCATAAGTCCCATATTATCCCATTTATCTGATACCAGTCTATAAATTCCTCTTCAGACTCATGCAACGCCTGCAATGACACCAAATGCAGGAAGACCACAGGCCAGTGGGTGGGATCCAGTGGCAGTGGAAGCCTCTCAGCGCTGGCGTGGGTCTCCACGTGGCTCCTCCAGCTCCAGGGCTCTGGGTCCATCAGTGTAGCTCCATGTAGCTTGTCAGCAGGAAAATGAAGCAGAGAGAATGTGTCTGGACTCCAGTGAGCCATTTATCTCCTTAGCATCTCCAAATGAGGTCATCCAGCTGCAGCCTGATCAACAGGCTAGCTCCACCCCTTCACTCTTGATAGTGTCAAGTTGACACCAGATTGTGTAACGACCACAGCAGACACCATTCCTTGCTGGCTTATGTTAAGCGATCATGTGGCTTTAAAAAGACCATGTCGGGGGGAACTTTTTTTTTAATGTAAGGTTTAAAGCTTATCTCAGGGCAAGAGTTAAGAGTTTCAGGGGTGCATCCAGCCTCTCTGGCTCCAGAAAATCTGGCTTTTGTGAGAGATAGACATTCTACCTCACATCTCCCCCCTTTTGATCAGGAGTCTCCGATGGAATCTTTGGTCAATGCATTGAGTGATGGTCACCGGTTGATGTCCAGGGCTAGTCAAATAAGGCAACCATCCCCCACATCCCCCAACACACCCAGAAGGTGCTTGGCACAACACCTCCAAGCTACTGTGACATGATGGACATCCAGAGTAAGCACCCATAAGCTTTGAGCTGCTAACCACAGGCCAGTGGTTCAAACCCACCCACCGGCCCGTGCGAGAAAGTTGGGGCTGCTTGCTCCCATAAAGACAGACAGCCTGGGGAAACTAGATAAGGTTGTTGTAAGCCAGAATTGACTCAATGGCAGTGGTCTGGGGGTTCTGGGGGTTCTCCAGGAATGGGTCCTGGGCAGAGGTGTCTGGGGAGAGGCCATGCTTTTAGGTCAGTGCACCGATGCACCGGAGGGAGGAGTTGGCCAGAACCACCACCTGCAGGTGTGCTGGTTGATGTCCACCCTGTCCAGCCTCAGCCTCCCTACTTGAGGCCCTCCAGCTGCTGACCTCACTGTCCTTCCGCTGGGCCCTTGGGCAGTGAAACTGCAGCAGAAAGTGGCTTCCTTCTGGAAGGTTCCCTGAGAGTTTGTAGCACCAGTTTTCAGGTTTTCTCTGGCCCAGAGCGCCTGGCGCCCTGTGTTGGATGATGAGCCCCGGCCTTTGCAGGCGCTTGTCCAGTGAGGGCAATTACTGTGGTCAGCCTGTGCCGGATCTGGCTGTGTAATTTTTCGAAGCATCCCTGACACCCCTCCCCAGCTGTCCCTGCTTCCTGGTCTTTTCACCCCTGGGGGCAGGCGCTGCCCAGCCTGGCTCTAATTCCGTCCACAGAGGGACTGGGCAGTACAGGATGGTGCCAAGCTGACTGGCAGTGGGGTCCCCTCTGCTTCCCTTCCAGCTACAGAAGCAGACCTGGAGCCCGGCATGCTCAGGCACCATGCCCTGTGCCTTACAGGTGTGTCTCTGTGCCGCCCAGGTGTCCATGTCTGTCCTGAGTCCCCACCCCCACTCTGTCCTGCCTACCCTGTGGCTGTGTGTCACTGCCTGCCCACATGGGAGGGGCTCTGCTCATGGCTCCCCTGGCTGTGCTCTCGTGGATGACCATTCAGTCACCACGGGGCAGGGCAGGGGAGGGCTCAGGGGGTGAGGACGTGGGGACTGGGTGGTGTCGATGTCAGGCTGAGTGGTGGGGGTGCTTGGTGGAGGTGGGGTGGGAATGGGAGAGGGAGGAGGGCTTCCACAGGGACAGACCAGCCTGAGGCCAAGGTGGACAACCAGGAGCTTTCGTGGGGCAGAGCAGGAGGTCTCTGTGGGGTGGCCAGTGACAGGCCTTTGGAGTCTCCAGGGCTTTCCCCTGAGGTGCCTTTGGGTGGGGCTGAACCCCACCTTTGAGGGTGTCCACTATTGCACTTCCAGGGCTCCAGAGAGACAGACAAGTAGGTGGACGGACAGGTAGGTAGGGAGCTAGATGGTTTGACAGCCGATAGAAAGGTGGATGTATGAACAGATGGATGCATGAGACAGTACAGAGAGATGGTAGGTAGGCAGAGAAGATGGGTGGGTGGACGAACAGATTAAGGATGTAGACAGATGATGGGTACATGATGTGTGTGTGTGCATGTGTGTTGTGTAGTTTACAGACTGAAGGACATGGATGGATGGTAGAAAGAGCGATACCCACAGGGGAGATTGGTGGATGATCCTGGTATGTGCACTGCACAGGTAGCAGATTCGTGGATAGATTCGTGATAGAGAAGGTGCCTGCATAAACAGCTAGAGATGGTGGACAGACAGATGATAGGAAGGAGGGTTGATGGGCCGTCTAGATACATGAATTATAGAGAGTTGCATAGATGATACATGCGTGCACACAGAGATGACATGGGCTGATGGAGACTGGTGGACAGACAGACAATAGGAAGGTGGATGGATGGCTGACAGATACACAGCTTGATGCATAGATGGAACATGCATACAAACATACATGCACACACGCACACACACACATATGCTTACATACACGTGTGCATGCCCAGGCGGTGTGGATGGCAGAGGAGGGGCCGCTGCGGCACAGGCTGGATGGCACACCAGCTGCTGTGGAGCAGCCTGGCTCCGGGTCCCAGGCCCCATGTCAGAGCAGCTCTGGGCCCCACGGGGTGTCCGTGGTTGATGGTTCGGGAGTGGGGTGCCAGGGCCTCTCTTCTAAGGCCCCCTGGGTGGACGCTGCCCTCCACACGCCGTTGGCAGCCGAGTGTGTGAGCCGTTTGCGTCGTCAGGACGCCGCGTGGAGGAAGGTGCACCCCAGTCCCCCACCCCCACCCCAGGTCAGCAGGGCCTTCAGTGCTCGCGGAGCCAGCAGGGTGCTCGGCGCGGCTCCAGGGCCCTCTGCCGGCTGAGTGCATGGTGTTCTCCTTGTAGCTGCGTCCCCGCTGGCTGTGTCGGCTGACGAGCACGCATTGTCACCCCTCACCCCTGCGTCCAGCCATTCTCTCTGCCTGCAGGCAGCGTTCTGTTGGGGTCTGTTCCCTGGGGTGCTCAGGGTGCAGCCGCTTGAATCTGCCTCCGCCTGCCCCCCCCTGCAGGAGACCAGGACGTCCTCAGAGAGCATCGTCTCGGCGCCCGCGTCCAGCACGTCCGGCTCCCCCAGCCGTGTCATCTACGTGAGTGGGGGCGGCTGGGTGCAGGTGGCAGAGCGGGATGGGCCTCCATTCCCCTGGTGCCTGATGGGAGGTGGGTGAACCATGCGAGCTGGGCTAAGGCTTCCTCCACGGGCAGCTGTCCAACCAGATATCGCCCTGTGTGGTCTGAAACTAGCACATAAACAACACGCAGCACATGCACATGCACTCACAGTGCATGCACACACGCGAACACATGCACTCACAGGCGCACACGCACACATGCTCAAACACACACATGCACACACGTGCACATGCACACGTGCACACATGCATGCACACACAAATATGCACACACAGGTGTGCGCACATGCACATAGGTTCATACACATGCACTCACACACGGGCACATGCATGCACACATACATGTATACACCGGCGTGCACACATACATGCACACATGAACACACACGCGCACAGGTGCACACACCAGAACACACAGGTGTGCACGCAACATGCGCACACAGGTGTACACAGCCGAACACGTGCACATATGCACACACACATGCACACACATGCACACAGACACCAGTGCATACATGAATGCACACACTCGAACACATGTGCACGGGTGTACGCACATGCACACATACATGTGAACACACGTGCACATGGGTGCACACACATGCACACACTCGAACACAGGTTCACACATGCACACATGCGAACACACAGCTGTACACACGTGAGAGCACACACATGCACGTACACATACACATACACATGAATGCACATGTGTGCGCACATACATTGGACACACACATGAATGCTCACACGTGTACGCACAGTGCACACACATGTGCACACAGCATGAATGTGTGGGCACACACGCTGCACATAGCAGTGCAGATCACTGCAGGAGAGGCGTCAGTGAATGCGTGTCTCACGGGCAAAAGACAGGTCATAGTAGCTGCTCCCTGGGCACATGGGAGCTACAATACGTCTGCAAAAATGGAAGGAACAGATAATGAGATTTCCCACAGATGTTTGGAGCCCCACCCCCGCAGCTCTGCCGAGTCTTGGGCAAGGTGGTATTGGTGCGGGGTGAAGCCCGGCAGCCCGGGACCCTGACAGGGGGTGGTGACTGTGTCTCAGTGGCTGCGGTGGTGTGTCCATGGCCTGGATGTCATCACATGGTCCCACCACCTGAGCTTGACCCTCTTCAAGGAGGCCCGCTGCTCAGGGCAAGGCCAGGCGTGCAGAGGGGCATTAGGGGACCAAGTCAGGTGGGCAGACTGGGCAGACACGGAGCACGCAGTCCCTGGTCCAGCCTTACTACCTGCCCACTTGAAGCTGGTTCTGTCCCTCATCAGCCCCCACCTTGCAGACCCCATGGCTGGGTGCTGGACCCCAGACCAGGCCTGCCTGACCCCACCCTCCCCTGGCCTCCCTCCTGCCCAGGCCAAGTTGGGTGATGAGATCCTGGACTACAGGGAGCTGGCCGCACTGCCCAAGAGCAAGGCCATCTACAACATCGACCGCCCGGACATGATCTCCTACTCTCCCTACATCCGGCCCGCCGCGGGCGACCAGCACAGCTACTGCGAGGTGCGCGCCTGGGGCCCGCGGCTGGGCATCTCGTGTGGATACCCAGGGGCCCCCTCCTGACAACCCTCCCCAGCACACATGGTCTGTGTGGACAGCCCACTCCAGGTGGGCGGTCGGAGCCAGCCCGCCTGTGGGAATGCAGTGGACAGAGCCGGCTGCCAGTGCCACGAAGCCCGACCTGCCCTGAACCCCGCAGCAGGCCCTGCCCCAGGTCCCCTTGCCCCTCACAGTCACTGGGCCTCCCACGGTGGGGCGGGGCTGGTTAGGGGGCTCCACGAGCACTTGGTGAGATCCGTTTCTCCTTCCCACACACTAGACGGTTGTCCTGAACCCTGTTCTGTAATCTGGAACATTCCAGGCCAGCACCTCCCACCGCCACCACCCTGAGAGCCAGGGTACTTTGAGCCAGCTGCCCCTGTGGTACTTCCTTGACACCCTGGGTGCTGACCGCTTAGCCCTCGGGGGTCTGCAGTGGGTCAGAGAGATGAGTCCCCTCCCCAGAGACACCTCAGAAGATAGGGCTGGCCGCTTGCTTTGAGAAGCCAGTCCCCAGGCACCCCACGAAGAGGCCACTGTTTTGGCACACGGGGGTCGGGGCTCCCCGGTGGCAGGGTATGTGTCCTGTGTGTGTGTCTGTGGAGGGGGTTGCGGGGGGGCCCTCCAAGGCAACAGGGTCTGCGTCCAGTGCTGCTGGCCAGGGGTGGCCACTACCCGGCCCGCCCAGCATCTCCATTAGCAGCGGCAGCACTAACGGCCTGTGTTGTGTTTGCAGCCCCCTCAGCTGCTCTCGCCAATGCCCACGGAGGTAACAACCCCCTCCCAGGCACCTGCCAGCACCCTCCGCCCCCCATGGTCAGCCCTGGCTGCTGGCCCTCCAAGCTGGCCCCCCTCCTGGGTGGCTGCTTGTATACTCCACCTCACTGCATGCTGCCAGTCAGTGCTACCAGTGCGGGGACCCCACGCTTGCTAAGCCGGGGCCCTAGGGTTTTGTAGAGAGATTTGGGGCCCCCTGGGGTCTCCCCACATGGGGCTTGGGAAAGTGCAAACAGCCCTGGACTGTCCGTTTGTCAGACGCTGTCTGTTGTCGGCAGCACAGTGGGCTCCACTCAGGGAGAACCTGGTCGCGTGTCGGCAGCACAGTGGGCTGCCAACTGCAAGGTCAGCCGTTTGAAACCACCAGCCGCCCCGCGGGAGAAAGATGGGGCTTTCTCCTCCGAGTACAGTTACCGCCTCGGACGCCCACGGCAGTCCTGCCCGTTCCCGTAGGGCCACCCGGCTGCAGAGCAGGGAGAGCTCTCAAAGCAAGTCCAAGATGCCCAGAGCGGCCTCTCACCATGAGCGTCCTTGGTGGGTCGCGGTCATAGGTCAGGGTAGGGGCAGCAGTGGTCACCCAGGCACCAACACAGCTCTTGCACTCTGTCCCTCTGGCGTGCCCAGTGCCACGCGCCCGCTGGCCCCTCCACCCGGCGGTCACTCTGTGCCTCATCCACTCCTGTTAGGTCTGCCAAGAGCCGGGCTCAGGACACCTCCCCTCCCTTCTCATCCACACTCCCTGTGAGCTACCCCCTGCCGTGGAGTCAGGGTTCACTGCACGCACCCGGGACGCAAGTCAACCCGTGCAAAGGCCAAGAGCCTTGTCTGGGCTTTCTCCATGCCGGCCAATGGGGAAATTGAGGCAAGGGAAGGCAGGCACTTACCTAGACTGGCCCCACTTAGTCCAGAGGGGAGCTGGCAGCCAGCAAGTCCACCCTGCTCCTGCCCAGCGTCTCCACGGAGCCACTCCCCACTGTCCTCAGCCCCTGGGGCTGGACCTGGAGGGTCTCTCTGGTCTCCTCCTTGGGGACCCCTGTCCCACGGTGGTCCCCTGCACTGGGGCCCCGTCCCCTGGTCCCCTGCATGGCAGAGACGTGGTTGAGCTGAGGGCACGTGACCATCTGAAGGCTGGGCACTGGGGGAGCAGGAGACAGGCGGAGGGGCCGAGCCGTGGGCAGCAGACCAGGGTCTCAGGCTTCTTACCAGCACTGGCGGGGGG